GAGCCCCTGGCCTTGCCCCAGGCCTCAAACAGGTGCAGGGCTGGGAAAGCACCAAGATCATCAGGCACCCCTGATGCTGGGAGGGGACCTGGGTGCACTTTGGGACAGGAAGGAGACTGAGAATCCGCRTCCCAGCCCAGTCAGCAGGTGTGGGAACATCCTGCGTGGAGGCGGTGCTCACTGGCCCTCCAGGCCTCTTCCACTGCTTGCCTAGACTAGGCTGGAGCCGGCCACCCCTCCTTCCYACTCGGCTGCTCTGAGCCATCCACTCAGTACCTCGGGTCCTATTAAAAGTGAGCCTGACATGGAAGGCACTGCAGATGTGCTGGAGGGGGGCACGTTTTCCACTTGAAGGTGAAGCTCTCTCCTTTACTTGAATCTAAATGGATTGCCTATGTATAGAGAAATACAACGTTCATTTTCCTGGAACCGTGTAATTCCCTAAACATTGCACTACTTAATATTCAATCCACCATGATCCCACTTAGCATTATTGATGACTAACACTTAGCTTTTGAGACTCCAGTGTTGAACAATATCGAACCTCTCTCTTAGGAAAACAATAAAATACTTAACTGCGGTGACAGGGTAGTATCAAGATAATAAAGAGGAAAAAATTGTAAAGAGAGTGGGCAGGCAATGAATTTTAAAAATCAATTAAAGAATCAATGCTRTTTTCATTTTGTCACAAAAATCCTGAGTCAGAGACAAAGCTAGATCAAAAGCACCCTGGCTTTATTGGCATCTCTAGCAAGGGTAATTAACGAAGCCCTGTGCTGATTGACTGATAAAGCAAGCCACAGGACTAGGTCGCTGTTACGGACTCACGTTCGCCTTTATTTCAGTGAGATGCATACAGGGTGTTTCCATCAACAGCTGCAGGCGAAGGAAAGCTTAGCACTCGTTAGGTGAGTTACGTCACTTAACCATCATTCCCGTTAGTCGGTCTAATGCTCTTCTTTGACCATATAAGCAAATTTGCACTGTTTTGTCACTCGCTTAAGGCTSGTAGTGTATCGGCTACTCACTTGTTTTCACGGGGTCTTGTCTTGGGCTGTCTGATGCTGGCACGAGGTGCACCGGTGCTTGGCTTCGGGGGAGCCTCCTGGACTGAGATGTGTCACTGGGAAGCCCTTGTCTCCTTCAACCCCTCCATCAGTCTGATGAGATTTCAATTCCCAATGAGTTTCTAAGCATACTGTGGTTTCAGGTGGAGTCATAATAACAAGAATTAAAAAGCAGAGCAAGATGACTCTTTTTAAGAAATAAGCACAATAAAGATACATTAGCCAGTGACAGACTGCTGTTCCACACTGACTGTACCCAAACTACCACAGTGCTCCTTTCCTTTCTTAATCTTGTCATTACGTCTCCACCCAAAGCCCAACTGTGTCTTGACATCTCCTAGGTTCCAACAGCATGGAATACTATGTGAAGAACAAGTCCCTCTTACCCTGACCCTGATCYTGTGTGCTTGGGTCTGTTAGGAAATAGTTGAGCCATCAGAACACCAAGCAGGAGACACTCCAGACAGAGATGGGACCCGGGCAAAAAAGCCAMAGCACTTGGCAGATGCTGGGAAACAGGGAGCCCGGGGCGATCTGGAAAGCGGCATGGTTGGAACAGCACACTGACGCTAAGGAAGGGCACGCAGAAAGGACTCCCATCAGGATCTCTCCTTGGGAGGAGATGCGCAGCAGAGACGCGGCATTGGAAGGAGAGTGAAGGACCAGGCCAGAGACAATCCTAAACATCCCTGGGAACAGGCATTTCTTCAAGAGAAACCTGGGGCCATTCCCGAACACAAAGAAATCAGGAACTCGGGCCAGAAAAGAGCCAGTGGTGTCACAGGCGGAATGTCCCACCYGACACAGTGGGCCAGCCTCCTCTGAGGATGCACCTGCCTCCTCTCCTCACCTGAGCACTGCCCGCTCCGGCTCAATGGCCCAGCACTATTTACCAACCGTGYTTCCTTGGCAAGAAGATTAAATCGTAAACTTGCCAAAACACATCGACACCTCATTGTGGAGACCACACAGACCCTGCCACACAGAGCGAATCTCCCATTAACTCTAGTTTGTAGCAAATAACATGCAAAATGGTTCTCAACACTCTACCACCAAATCCGACCAGAGAGCAGATCCTGACTGTGCTCGCATTCTAAACATTTCAATTTACAGACATTGTGAGCTCATCAGCACAGTGACACCCAATCACATACAATTTTTACAAGTATCTCAAGGAATAAATTTAAACAAAAATAAATTCTACCCATATGCTGCTTGGTTAATTTTTTACTCGTTTCTACAAAGCACTAAAAATGCAAACGCCTCAGAGGCAGACAAAGCTTGCTATTTTCCAGAAACGTCTCACACAGTGGAAGCGCCACAGGCTTTGTGCTGCCTCCAACGTGCATGTGAAGGACTTTGCCACGATATGCCAYGTTAGCATCATCGTGAACTTCTGAAAGGACCACCGCTTCCCCAACAATGAGCATCAATATAAGCATCTTACGTTGGCTACTTTGTTACTAATAGCACACCTAAAATGATACATGATTTTGAAGACTTTTTAAAGGTTTCACAGTTCTCTTTTCATCTTCTTATACACTTTGCAGCTGGAAATTTGTCACCATGGCAACCTGGCTTGATGTCTGTGTGTCAGACATGGTCCACAGAGTTGTATCATACCTCATAATGCAAAAGCACTGCGCGCCCAGGGTCCCTGGTGTTCTTTGACAGTGTGACATTGTAGAGAGTTGTTATCACATACAGGACAGAAACAGAACAACTCCACATCTAGAGCCACGATTTAAAACTTTCAAATCTATTATGGGATGAATCATTCCATCTGTTTGCTATTCTTAAGTCTCTCTTAATTTTCATTATAATCACAAAACATAACCCATGAGAAATCAAATTGAGTATTTGTTTAGTTTAAAAGGGGGGGGGGGACCTGGTCTGGGATCAAAGGGAATGGCGTGCCACAGGCAGCTGGAGCAGGGTGGCCCTGAAAGACCRCACACCCACGGCCATAATCTCTTGGCGATCTGGTGCCTGGTTCAGCAGCAGCTCCACTAAAATCACTCACATCAATTCCAAAWAAATAAAATCAACTTTTTAAATGAAGTTGATAAAAGAGTTTTAGATGTGGGAGATTTCCTCAATATTGATCCACAGCATTTTTAAAATAGATTTCAGCAACTTTTTAATGCCCCACATAAAAATACAGAGAAATGGAAAACAATCCATACCCAAAAGTGAAAACAGAATCTCAAAGAGGAAGTCTGTACTTTCTTTCTCCTTTCTTCCTGTATGCTTTTGCTAACAATTCTACAATAAACATCTATTACCATTTAACAAAGTTTTCTCACTTTTAAACTAACRAGATATAGAAGAAAACTCTAAACCTGCAAGTAAGCTATTGGGTGCACCTGATGCAGAGAGAAACAAATAAAAGTAAAATCTAACCCCTGCTCTCAAGGACTTTAACCTCGGCAGGAATTGGGATTAGGCTGGAAAATAACAAATAATACCAGACCCAGTCCATCAAGAAGGCACTGCACTAATATTTCTAATTTTCACACCAGCCTCACAAGTTGGACRTCAGCCCAGGTTTTCAGAGAGGAACCTGAGGCTCAGGAAAGCTGTCTGCAGACCCTTTGCACTGGTCCACAGCTGCACCCCTTTCACTAGAGTTCTGGAAAGTGTTTGGCAAAACTTTCTGCTTAAAAGATCACAAGCCAYGGGTGCCAAACAAGTGATAAATTCTCCAAAGCATCAATTGACRTTAAAACCAGATGTTGTTTATGCTCACGGAGACACCTGTGAACTGAGGTCATTGTCTCGCCAGCCAGTGGTAGGTGGTGGCTGAGAGTTCCGAGGACAGGATGCCAGGGATAAAACGGGTCACACTAATTTTAACATGGACCTTAACGACCGAGTGCCCAATTTCAAGCTGAGGAATGTGAGCTCTCATTACTAACTTAAGGATAGCTGAAGTTCAAATAAGACAATCCCCGTTTTAAGCCTAGATATGCTTTTCAGGAACTCTCAAAGCCATTGTCTCACTGATTTTGTAAACTTGTAAAATAATTGTTGATTGACTCAGCCAAGGTGGAGAGGTTACGTTACTTGACAAGGACACCTGGCCAGCYAACAGAAGCCCTAAAGCTGGAGTCCAGGCTCCTCCACACGCTCTTGGCACATTAGCACCTACACAGGGAACCACACGCTGTGCCTGGCCCTCAGCAAAGCACTGTCAGGATTCYTCTGCTAATAAAAATAAAAGCACTGAGCAGATTTTTCTCTCTAATCCTGGAGGTGGGATAAATAAACAAATGAACTTTACACAGGAGGAAACAAACACTCTGAGCTTTCAAGGTGTGTTCCCAAAGCCACACAGCGGGTGTGTGGTGGCTGGCCCCTTCCACTAGTGGTGGGAACACCAGAGCCCATGCCTTCCTTCCCATGCGCCTGTGCCTGGCCCACTATCCTCATGGAGTCCCAGGGAATTGTGGTMCAAGTCAGTGAAATTGTCCACACCCAGACAAAATTCACCATTGCACTTGGTCACCTAACCAATGATGAGGACAGAGCTAACACAGAGCTGGAGGTGAGGACCTACAGCTGCCAGGTGGGGACCCTGCTGGCCTGCAGCCTGGGGGCTGGGAGTCTGACTTCTGCCCACACCCTGAGCAGGTGGCACCTGCATCCCTCKGTGTGGTGAGTCTTAAGGTGCAGCTGTTCCTGCTGCTGGGAGCCCAAGCCCGCACCCTGGGTGCTGACTGCTCAGGCCAGAGGGTCCCAGTTTTCTTCRCTCTGCAGTGGATTATCCACCATTGGCAATGCCTCCACGAGGCTTCCTTTCCTGRGTTTGCTTTTTAACCCTGGTGATAGGCGTGGAAGTTGTACTTTTAAAAAGCATCTGAAGCCTTGAGGGTCCACGGCTATCCTGCCTTCAGAATGGGAAACATAAAACTACCATYTACTGATACAAACCTTATTTTTAATATCTTCAAAAATCTTTTCATCTTCTTTTTCCTATTATTAAAAATATATATATCATGATCAAGTATCTGCAAGAAGGATACTGTAAGCAAGCCCTGGGCCTCCCTTCTCCCCTAGGCTCTGGGTCAGAACACCTCCATCTCTGCTAAGAGCAGCAGAAGTGGCATCTCAAGCCTGGCCCCTGGCCCTGGCCCTCGTCTCTGCCCTGTGCCCTGAGACCACCCTTCCTGATCTCCATGCGTGGCCTTACTGCTCAGCCTGAGCTTTACCTTCCGCTCCCCTGCATCCTGGTTTGATTCCACTCAACAAACACCTGGGAGCAGCCAGCCTTGGGCTCCTCAGTCTACCTGCTRCTGTCTCCACGGTCTTCCGTTCCACCCTCCAGGGAAGCACAGGGTAACAGAGCTGCCCGACTGAGGAGCACTGCCTGTGCTGCTGATGGATCTACTTGGACTTTTCAGATTCTAAGATGATAATGGGAAATGACAAACACACATTTAATTCAATAGAAAGAGCAAAAAGCCGTTTCTAAGTCTGCATCAGTTCATGTTACCCTAATAGGCACCGCTGTCTCCTGCCGCCATGTGCACATCCTCAACCTGCATTTGCTAATACTGGCCATTGTAAAGCCAACTCTAAGGGGGAATCTCTTGGTTTATTATTTGCATTTTTATTTAGTAATGAGATGGTTACATCTGAATTAGTAGATTTGTATTCTTCCCAGTAAGTTTCAGCTTCATTTGCCTTTCTGTTCATTGGGCTGTCTTTATATTAGTTATTTGTGAGTTTTTTATAAATTAAGAAAACTTTATTTGCATTGCAAATATTTTCTTCCTTATTTTGATTAACTTTCTTTTTGRTACGGTGAATAGAACCCCAGGACTTCACACATGCTAGATGAGTGCTCTTCCACTGAGCTACACTCTCAACCACCTTGGTTAACTTTTAACTTTATGACATTTTCCAAAAAGAAAAGTTTAGTTTTCATCTAGAGAAATATGACCTTGGGATGATCACTTCTTAGGCACAAGGCAGCCTGATGAGACTCACTGGAATATCCACCTTCTCTTATAACCTTCTGCGAGAATCTCTCTGCCCGGTTGGCCACACCCCAGCCTCTGCACCAGAGGCCTTTAAATGGCCCTCACTGCCTCCAGAGCTGGACGAGGGTCACCTAGTGTCCTCCCAGTTCTCCGTCAAGTTCAGGATCAGCCAGGGAACATAAACTTTGTCAAAATTGGCAACAACACGAATTCAGTCCAGACCCTGGCATCTATCAGAGGTGACAGAGCAGGTACACAGGTCACTCTGACAACAGCCAGGGTAGCCCGATGACACAGGAATCAGGGGCAAACGAAGTCAAGGACTGAGTTTGTAACCTACTGAGTARAGAGATTGTTGAGCCAGGCACCCTGGTAAATTGCTGAGAAATAAACTGCACAGAGGAGAGGAAAACGATCTGGGGGTCAGTGTGGAAGGGTGCCACCTCCATGGGCCCCCAAGAGCTCAAGGGGCCCAAGCTCCTTACTGAGCACACAAGATTGGCCATTCAGTTCCTATCACGCCTCTCGAAAGGCTGATAACTCAGAGTCAAGACGGCACTCAGAGCCACCGCAGCCCTGACACTCCTGCCTGGAGGCTCCTCTGTGGCCTCCCTGCAGAGCCGGTCCCCAGGCCACAMTGGGGATCTCCAGGGCAAGAGAGCCCCAGATGCACACCTGGGTACCTGCTCAGCATCGCCATTCACCTCATCACAGTCCTTTAGAAGGAATGCTTTCAAATTCTTAATACCTTATTTTACAAACTTAGCTAGTAGCATAGGTAAAAAAAAGTGCTGTTTGCACATAAATCACTGTACAATCACTGAGTCCAAATAAATCAAGCAATACSAACTGGAGAAACTTCCAGTCCACCCTGGTTCAAACAGTACAGGGTAATTAAAATTGTATGCAGCGAACACAATTTGATATCAGTAAAAGGACGAAGTACACATCTCATCTTTATCATTTCACAGAAGAGCCTTCAAATTAGTTAATTAACGATAATTCCATTGTAAGATGAAAAGTGTGGTTGACAGGCCAAATGTCATCAGGGTCATCAAGACTGTGCAATTAGAGGTTAAGCATTCTGAGGATGAAGAAGTGCCATGCAGAGCAGAGCCCTGTTTGTATTCTGCTTTACCCACTTCTCACCACTGACTTACATAACCGCCCAATAAGCGCACATGTGCACCTCCCCAGCTGGCCCTGACACCTCCCCAGCTGGCCCGGCTTCTGACACCTCCACTGCACACACCTTCAGCCCCAAGCCCCAAGGCTGCCAGCACTTACAGACAAGGACAGGGCAAAGAAGCAGGGAGAGGGCACCTGTGCTCAGCAGGCACAGAGTGTCCGTCTGGAGGGACAAAATTACCCTGAGAGCAGATCATGGCCATGACTRTGCACTACCATAAAGGTAACTAATGTCACGGAATCGCACGTTGAAAATGGCCAGAGAGCAAATCCTAGGTTATGTGTCTGTCTATACATTTAAGTCATGTTCAGGATGACCTGTTCTCTTACCACTCTACTGGGCCATTAGTGCTGTATGCCTGCATGCTTACTTAAGTTAAGCAACTTAATCTTAGGAAACTCAAATCCACAGACTTCCTTAAACATCTGCTGAGTTGAAGATACTGTGGAACCTCAGATGACAAGGCACAGTCTCTGCAGCACAAGGATTTCACAGCCAACTTCAGGGGTGGTCCAGGCTGCAATCACATACCTAAAAAGGTAAGGTGGTCAGCACCAAATAAATGTCCTGAGTGACCTGCCAGGTGGACGTGCAGATGAAACGCCAAGTGAACCCACAATCATTGAGAATGGCAGGGGCCACTGAGGCCACTGGCCAGGTCAYCTGAGGGGCTCTCTTCCCCAGCCATGGGGAGCAAGCCCTCAAAATCACACACTAGGATTTAGGCCAAAGATTGTCGGCCGCACGAGGTGTTTCATGCCAGGAAATGCCACACCAACAGTGTTTTGCTGAGGTCAGGCCAGAGGCTAAGACGCAGCTGTGTGGCCTGGTGGAACCAAAAGGCTCCCAGGTGCATCACACGCTGGAGCCACAGCACCCTCGAAGTGAGCCTGTCACCTGGGAGCAAGGAGCGACAGCTGAACCCACCACAAGAGTCTCTTCTGGGGAATCACAGGGAGCCAACGTGGCTCAGAGGGAGAAGAGCGAGCTTCTGGGCTGGTTCAGTCGAGGCTCTCCAGGCTGGTCCCTTGCTAACTGGGTCTGGCTGCTTTTCCTCCCTGGTGCCTGCCTTGAGGGTGATGTGTGGAGCAGGAACCAGCGAGCCCCTCCAGCCCRTCACACCCTAGTCACACCCCCACAKGGCCGGAGAGCGGAGGCTTGGCGGACCCCTCTCACCTCCCCCACTGGGTCTGCTGTTACTCCAGCAGCGTTGCTCACACCAAGGAAGACAGTTGATTCACTCTAAGAAATTGAATCTGCTACAGCTGCTATCAAGCTCCGACCGTGTACGCCATGCCCAGAGCCCTAGCCGGGTTCCACGGCAGATCAGAAGGACAGAAGGCCACACCGGGCACTCAGGAGACTGCAGACTATGCCACAGAGATGCCCCAAAGATTCTGTGCAAACACGCACTCAAGCTGTCCACAGGCCCRCAGTGCCCGCTCCTGTCTGCCCAGCACCAGAAGATGGGCTTGCTGCCCCTTTCCTGAGGCTCTGGGGCAATCCCTTTATTGCTGTTCCTGCTCTCAAAATGATCCTACTCCCTGCCACCAAAGAAACAAAATGTGAYCTCTGCTCCTCATTTGAAGGAGCTCCCCACCCTCCTAGAGGCAGGTGGACCCCCGTCCACTGAAAACYGCCTGCATGTCAGAACCACGTGAGWCGGGACGGCGCCAAGGCTGAAGGGGTGTCCTCTGACTGGCTCAGACCCCACRCTTCTTTGGTGTTCTTTAAAACCTGAACAACTTCCTGAGGACCCGCTGTCTTCCCCACAAACCCCCTTGCCAGCTGGGGTGAAGTCCCAGGCACCCCACGTGGCTCCTGTGCCCTCTTACCACCTGGAAGCCACCTGGAGCTGTGGGCCAGCTTAAGAGCAGGAGATGTGGCTGAAAGGGCACCAGGTCCTCAGCTCTGTGGGCTCAGCATCAGAACAGACACAGGGGCCTCTGTCTGAGGCCCAACATCCGAAAGAGGAAATACCCTGAAAGCATCTAGAGACCAAACAGCCCCTTCTCGGCTGTCCATCACACATCCGGTGGACAGTGTCCTCCCCCSACGTTTTAGGTAGACCATCAGCACGTGGTGTTCTCCGCTTCRGAAACCTGCTGCTGGTGTGGACTGTGTTTCCAAACCGCTGGACAGGAAAGCACGGCAGGCGTGGGTGAGCCCTGCTGCCACCTGCAACCAGCACAGCCCCTGTCCCCAAGGGTCGGCTCCATCAGCCATAAGGAGCCACCCACGTGACCCTGATTCCTCACCTCCTGATGTGCTCCCTAAAAATACCTGGAAGCGAGCTGGAAAGTGGCCAGGTGTGACTGTGAGCACAGTGACAGGTGAYGGAGACTAGAGAAGACAGTGAAGTCCCCCCCAAGCATCCTTCCGTCACACAGGAGGCCTGGCCCCGGCCTGGATGCTGGGGAGTACCCAGCGCTTCGCCTCTGGCCCTCATCTGGCTTGGGGACGCAGCCTGTGGTCTTGGGCCCTGAATGTCAGTGTACTGGACACCAAGGAGGTACCTCAGGCCCAGCCTAAGAACAAAGTAGAACCTCTCACCTGGATGCCTTCAAAGTCACGGGTGCTTTCTGACTCCTCATCTTCTTTAACCACCTCTGCGGGGGCCTGGGGGGGAAACGCACCACATTTCACATTCGGCCAAGCCTGGCCCCTGCCAGGCTCCTAAACAGAGCTCCTGGGGTAGCGGTCCGGGCCAGCAGGGGAGCCTCTGCCTGCTCCCACCTTTGGCTCCACCAGCAARACACAACATGCTTAACACAATTCTGGAGAAATCTTTAGGGAGACAGACGGGAAATCCTTTCTCTGTGTAAAGGAATGTCAAGGTCCCTCCAGCCGCCTCTGGCCTGCAGACCATGGGTTCCTTCCTAATCCGTGTGTGCCCCCGAGGACCCCTCAGGAGGCTGCTCAGGAGACACCCTCTCCACCTAGCACAGGTCACCCTTGTAGCAGTGYTCCTCCCACAGCCTGGAATTGTTCCCAGAGCCGTGGCTTCTGGGAAGGCAGTGAGCTGCCTCAGTGTCTGGGAACCTCTGTCCACTCAGGGGAGCCACACGATTCTGTGGCCACAGAGCACAGGGGCACTTGTACCCCTGCTCTCAGTCGAGACCCACTGATGAGGCTACAGTAAAACGAGTGTGTCTACTACAGGCCACAGCAGGCAGGACAGAGGTCCACAGTGGACAGGACAAAGGTCCACAGTAGGCAGGACAGAGATCCACAGTGGGCAGGACAGAGGACCACAGCAGGCAGGACACAGGCCCACAGAGGGCAGGACASAGGYCCACAGAGGKCAGGACAGAGGTCCACAGWGGRCAGGACAGAGGYCCACAGWGGRCAGGACAGAGGYCCACAGWRGRCAGGACAGAGGYCCACAGWGGRCAGGACAGAGG